TTTTGCAGAGAATGTTCAAATGAATATATTACTGACTTGATTCTTCCTGGATTAACATGATGGTAATAATAATAATGGACATGCCAACCAGAGTCCGTTATTTGAACAGATACAGTAGGTGTGTGATGTAAAATCCAGGGGTGTTCAACCTTAGCAACTTTAAGACTTATGGACTTCAACTCTCAGAATTTTTCACCCAGCCACCCTGGATTATTCCGATGAATGACAAGATTAATTTGATCTAGTCTCTGTGAGGGCTTTGAGCTCCTGTGAAAACTCCTGCATCCAGTGGTCTATGTCTGAGACTATACTTATGAATTATGATTACACTCTTAACATTCTTTTCCATTATCAGATTAAATTAAATATAGGTATTCTGTTTAGGGTCACACACCTCATTTGTATTTTTACATTAACTATCCCATTTCACACCATCTTTTTTTTTGAGATTTCTAAAGAAATAGTCCTGCAAGACAGACAGTGTCATACTACACTTTGCATCATCAGATAAAATGGATCCAGAGAAATTATAAACCAATTAGTCTAGTGTCTATATTGGACAGGACATTTGAAGACGTTCTCAAGGAAATAACCATATAACATGATTACTATTTATCATATTATTTATATTTGCCTGTCAGAAATGTTTTTACATATAAACTATATACAGTATAAAAGTTGATCAAGTTGTAAACTTGAACTCATTTCTCCCTTAAAAGGTCTCAAGCCAGTTTAAAAGAAGCAGATATATAGATCTGTAGAAGTTCGCCAATGGAAGTGTAAAAACAAAGTCTTTGGTGGTTTGGAATTATTTTGAATTCATTCATTTAATCAATAATTTATTAGCTTTTGGTTGCCACACAGATTAAAAATGCAGTAGTGGAGGATAATATTCAGAACTAAATCTCAGCAACATACAATTATATTATCTCCACAAAATTCACTACGTGGCTTAATTATTAGTTAGTCCAATAAAAAGGGGTATCTTTTTTCAAGATCAAGAAATAATTATTTCAAATGAAATAAGTCAATTTTTGAAGCCAAAGTATTTCCCCCCAATACCTGATAAACCAGACAGCTAGATTCATAGCAGTATTAATGTTACAGAATAAAGGTTCTTGTCTATAAAAAGACACATTATCCAATGATATTCACAGGAACAAACCAATTTTCAGATGGAAGTTTTAAAGATGTTGGATAACCATTTGTCTGAAGTGGTGTAGGGTTTCCTATCTAAGCAGGGAGTTGGACTAGAAGACCTCCAAGGTTCCTTTCAACTCTGATATGATATGATATATTTTTCTATTCTATTCTATTCTATTCTATTCTATTCTATTCTA